TCGTAAATACATTAGTTTTGAGCAGACGGGTCTACATAAAAACTGCAAAAGCTTCAACCTTTATGAAACCAAAAGATTAAAACCTTACTCAATTAATGATTTAAGAATATTATCAACTCATACAATTCAATCGCAATCACAATGGTGCCTTGAAACAATTTCATCTCATCTTCAAGTGAACTGAGTAAAGATCAAATTATTCAAGGGAAATGAGTGAAAAGTACGAGGTGTTTAACGTTTACCTTCATGAAGACCAGGTCTCCCATATGCATCTACCATGATACTATACGAAGCTCTATCGGGTTCACATCCCATGTGCTGCATTAGAGAAAAAAATTTCTGCAGCCCCATAAGGAAACCCTGCACAACTGTTGGGGAGCAAAATCTTATAGAAGTTCAGGTATATAGTGCTGCTTATCATACAATGGAAGTTTGTACAGTTATACTTGATCAAACCGCTCAAATTAAACTACAGAATCCATCAGAGACTAAACTATAAGCTTCCATAAGGGCATAGTACACATACACATCAGGCTCGTGCCCTGCTTCTTGCATCTGCTAAAAATTTTCCTCCGCTTTCTCACAAAGTCCTTCCCTTGCAAATGCATTTACCAAAGCCGAATACATACATATGTTGGGTCTACATTTCTGACTTTTCATTTCATGAAACAACTTTAGAGCCATAAAAGATTTCCTTTCCTGCAGACCATGAGGAGATTTCTGTCGTACTGTTTAATAAGTAAATGACATCTGATGCTGTGAAACTTAATCAGCATAGGCTCATAGAAAAGCATAGGACTTAAACTCACAGAAGCTACAACAAAATGCAGCAAGGCTCACCTTTCCGTATAAATCGTATATGGTTCTGACAACTTGTAGTTTATAGTTCAATATTTGATCATACACAGATGTTCTAACTTGGGTTGTGGAAGACTATACGTAGGCTCTGCTGGTGATATCGCAGACTGAACAATTATATTTGTATGCTTTACCAAATCACCGGTATAAACATTGCCTAATGCTAGAAACTAAAACTGAGGTCCTGTCTTCGATTTTTCCTTCTGCATTAGCGTGTTAGCTAACAATTCCTGTCTTCGATTTTTCCTTCTGTCTAAGCGTGTTAGCTAACAATTTACCAGGGGACTCGAAATATAATATATAAAAAAAGACACAGAAACTTACTCACTTGTTGCCCTTAATCTTGAACCAAAGTACCGGCACAGTTCTTGTGGCCAGCACCCAAATCATCCTTGCAAGAACAACCCAATTCAATCGCAGCCCCGGATTCGTGGCTGTTACTCTCCAAACCCAAATGATAAATCCGACAATCTCTCTCTCTATTCTATCCAAATGAACCGTAAAAAATAAAAGTATAAAATAAATTATGAATTAAATTAAGTAAATTTAAACTTCTCACCTCCACCTCCAGCATAAAACAAAATAATAATTAAATAATTAAATGGGTTTTCATCTCCGTGACCCTTAAACCCTAAAAACCAAAAACCCACAAATCTGCTCTGCCTGAGGAGCCATCCGAGATTCAAATCGGAGAATCGCACAGAAGGTATTGGAGATTATCACATACCGACTTGGAAGAGATAGGCCTCGGCGGTGGGATAGCCGTCACTCCCAACACTGTGAACGGAGGTGGCAAGGAAACCGATCCAAAAGTCGGGATCGATGATGTTCCTTCAGTCGACGGCGGCGGAGTGGCGAGTTGCGATGTGGACTCAGGCCTCTCGGCCTCTGGGTTTTATAGGTCATCCACTGGAAGTTGTCCTTGCGAAGCCCCAGACTGAGAAGAAACCTGATGGGGCTTATCCGTACAATGCCGGGCCTCATGCAAACCACCTTGCACACTCAGGGTATGGTGGTGGTTTTGGCGGAAATCCATACGGCTCTGTGGGGGCTGGATATGGTGTTGCTGCAGGCTTTTAGCAGGTACATTACTGAATTTACATTGGTCCTCTTGTGTCTTGGTAATCTAATTTCTTCAGGAATGCACATGGTGTCTATAGTTTTACCGGATAGTCGAATTGGCTATGTTCTGTAAGTTGACATTTGTTATCTGGAGGGAGGTCCTTTAGAATAAAAATTGAAAATGGTGAGGGTTGAGAGAGATGGAGAGTTGGGAGAAAGGAAGAGTCTGAAAGAGAATGAAAGAGAAAAGGTTAGAGAGATAAGGGGAAAACAGAGATCACAGGGGGAAATCAAGGGATGGGATTTCCAATTTCTGAAATCACTCTCCCTATCCTCTAACCCCTATCTGGGTTTGCAATCCTACCCACCCCAATCCAACTGATCGAGACGGACGATGTACATCTGTGCTACATGGGTTTGGGAACAGAGGTAAAACCCTTTGCTAACAATAGTAATGCCCACTGTTGCAACTCGTAACTGAACATCTCCGACCCATAGAATAAATTTAAAGAGTAAATTACACTTTATCATCTCAGATTTGGGATCTATTACATCCTCATATAATATCTTTAAAACATTTCACTTTTATACCTCAAGTATTATTTTTTTTCAATATAATACATCCATTATATTTTATTATATTGAAATAAAATAGTACTTGAGGTATAAAAGTGAATTTTTTTGAAGATATTGTATGAGATTGTAATAGACCTCAAACTTGAGATAGTAAAGTGTAATTTATCCAAATTTAAAATATAAGTTTTAAAACCTCTCAAATCATCTGTAATTATTAGGATAAAATAAGCTATTTGGAGAAAATATATTTTTGGCCTAGATTCTCTCTGTTGTAGGTATAATTTGTGGAGTCAAAAATAATCATAAGGCGACATGTGGATTTTTGGATAGAAGAAGACAAAAATACCCTTGAGGCATACCGGGATTCCTACGCACGAGCAGCGGACAATCATCCCTCAACTAAGTCAAAAGTGCCCAAAATAGATAACAATTCAAAATCCATCTCATCAAATCCCTTATACAAGGTAACTCCCAAAACCTATTTCATTCCATATATTTTTACCTCTTTTTTCCTCTTTTAGCTAATCACTTAGCTATCATTCCATAACTTACAAAATATTCCACATAAATTGCATAACCTCAAAAATATTCATTCCAAAAATATGTTAATTGGCTAATCAAATTCATTAATTACCAAATAACTCACACATAAAACCACAAAATGCACACAAAAAGCATCCCAAAGGCCAACCACCTTTTCTCCAAAGGGGACCGGCCATGCCCTATAAATACTACTAATTTTTCTCTAAAACCTAGTTCCACACTCTTGCAAAACTCCCAAAAACTCTCCAAACATTTTTCTCTCTAAATTCTAACTTTGGCATCGGAAGTTCTTCGACCAAAGCCCCCCCATTCATCGTGGGCATTCTTGGCCTTGACCTAAGGTGTTATTTGTTTTGCAGGTCCAAAAACAAAGAGAAAGAAATTTGCATCCACAAATTGGTGATTTCATTGAGAGTTGAAGTACACACACTCGTAGAAGACTCTCGCATAAAAGGTTTTTCTCTATTTTTTCTTGTCCATTTGTATATTTTTTGTATGTTCTTATTATTATAATTTTTTATTTGCAAAGATTCTTTGATAAAATGTAAAAAGGAAATACAATGGCTAGAGATCTAGAAAATTCCGCAAGTGAAAATTCCAATATTCAAGAAATGGGACCACGGCGATCCATAAGGCTAAATGTGAGCATAGGTGGAGCGGCACCACCGCTACGGGGCTCCACCATGGCAACCATCGCGGCGAAGTCCATGGCACCATTACTAAGGCCCAAGCCATGCCATCCAAGCTTGCAAAGGCCACAACCCAAGCCATGTCACTCTAAGCCCAATGCGTTGCCAAGCCGAGCCCAAGCCGAGCACTCGCATGCATCACACACTGAGCAGCCTACTCTCGTGGCCAAGCCTGCTCCCGCGACCCAGCCTGCTCCCGTGCTTCCCGCCGAGCAGCCCACTCTCGTGGCCCAGCCTGCTTCCGTGGCATTCCAAGCAGCCCGAATCGATCCAAGATTAGTTTAACCGTCTCGGCTTCAAATTTATGGGTCTACAATTGAACTGGGGGCATTTTCACCCCGTTTCTCCGCGGATTTGACATTTGCCAATTCAAATCTTGCGCTTAGAGCCTACCACACTTCTACTGCTCAAGGAGGCACATTCCTTCCAAGCTCTTCCAATTTAAATGGCGAACAACACTTGTCTCGACAAGTCATATAACTAACGAGCGCACTTGCACAATAGACAACCTTGGTGAATCAACTCTTGCAACGCACCGAGATCCAACGTGCCCGGATGAGGTGTCCCGAAGTAGGACAAAGGCAGATGAACCTTTCCACCAGCGTCCCGGCAAGCAGCCCATCAACCAATTACGATCCGAGCGTTCTAATAGTTTACGCTCCCACTTGGGTCCTCGGGATAGCGTCTACTCTCGCCTTAGCACGCGAAAGAGCATGCATTCCTAATGAAGCCCATGAACGAGCATACGTTCACAGTTGAAGTCACACTCCGATTATCAACATGGACAACCTTCCAGGCGAAATGTTCATTCACAACTAGGCTCACAAGGAGTATTATCTACCTCACATTGGAGTAGGCAGCACGATAGACGAAAAGAAACAGTTACTCAATCTGACTCAAGTTCAATCAGCAGCCTGTTCGCCTACCAGGAACATGCCATATGCACCGCAACAGCAATATAGACAAGTCGAGCATAAGAAATAGCGACCTAAACCCGTAGGTCACGACCGGGGGCAGCCGAAAGTTCCACTGCCCCAGCAGAGGCAAATTCAAGAAGAAGTTGAAAGACTTCTAACTGAACGATTGCGTAATTTCCAACGTAACGAGCTTACTGACAATGCGCTTCAACGAGACATGACCAACATAAGCATGTCACCATTCACAAATGAGATCAAGCGGACAGATCCACCTCGAGAGTTCACTATGCTTCACTTCACTCCGTACAAGGGAGACAAAGATCTGGATCGACATCTCAAATACTAACGCAGTACCATGATCCTCTACAAGAATAACGATGCGCTTATATGCAAAAATTTTGCCACAACTCTGCAAGGCGAGGCGCAAGACTGGTTTCACACTCTACCGCCGCAGTCAATCCGGAGTTTCAACGAACTTTCCTTTGTTTTCACTAAGGAGTACTCGTCTAACCGCTCAATCAAAAGGACATCCGACCATCTCTTCAGCACCGTAAAAGACCCTTGGGAGACAATTCGCGACTATGTCAAGAGGTTCAAAGCGGAGAAGGCCAAGATTTTTAGCTGCAACGAGGACATAGCAACGACAGCATTTAGAAATGGGCTTCCCATCGAACATCGTTTATTCGAAAAACTGATCATGGGAGAAGAACTGACCCTAGCAGCTTTGTATGCTTTGGCAGAAAAACATGCACTATGGGAAGAGACCAAGCAATCTAACAAAAATGAGTTGAAAAAAGAAGCACATGGGATGTTCCCTGACCAAAGAAGACTCAGCACCTCAAACATTCACCAAGTTCATAGTTCCAATCGACCAAATTCTCCGCAAGCTCAAGAACAAACCTTGGTTCGAACTGCCGCCACCTATGAAATGCGATCTTACCAGGCTAGGTCATACAAAGTATTGCGCATTCCATCAAAGACCAGGCCACACTACCAACGGCTGCTTGAAGTGGAAGCAGTACTTTGAAAAGCTGACAAATGAAGGCCGATGCAACGAGTATCTTGATAGGTCGATGAAACGACCTACACAAGCAGGGGAAGTCTCTATCATCCCCTGAACCCAGTTTAGCCTTTTCTAAATAAGTTCGAAGTCTCAAGCAGCTCGACGAATAAGGCCTCGCAAGTTGCGTTTAAAATATCCTATGTAAAATGTTACCCTAAGAAGCCTAATGTTTGTGACCATAAGCCAGTGCCTTTTAGGCCAACTTCAACTGAAATGGTTAAATATAGTCACGTCTAGAATTAGTCTTGCGAAAAATTATTTTTAAGTTATCAGTGTCGTGCCATACTCCTATATCATCTCCAACCGAATATGCTAAATATAGCCCCTAAATAGTTTATTATTTTAAGTTTATACATGAAATTTATTAGTTAATTAAATTAAATTATAACTCTTAGTGTATATAATATCGTTTGTTAAAAAAGAAAAAATTTAATTAAATCACCATTAGATGTTCTATAATTATTGCAATTGAGAAGCCGGCCCCAAAAAATAAAAGGCTAAAAGGGAGGCTAAATTTGACCAGCCCGATGCTCATTTGGCCAAATAATAGTCTGTGGGCTCCATAAAATTATAGTCTAACCATCGGTTGAAGATGAGTTTTGGGGCCAATCAAACTATTTTTTTGTTTTTGAACCTTTTGCCCTCTCTATTGGAGATGGTCTAAAATCACCTCCAACCCCTTGGGGTTAAAGCTTGGAAATTTAAGCCAGAAAATTTTAAACCATAACTCGGAAATTGTTTTTCTTTTCCAATGGTTATGACTTAAACTTTTAGCCCAAGATTATTAAACAATGATTTTAGTATATATTTTTTTCGAGGAACTTTGTTGAAAACAAAATTTACGTAGGTTATCCTAATATATTTTTACTAACATTTTATTCTAAAAATATTTAAATTCAGATAAGTATTTCAAAATCATACAAATGCATAGGTATTTATAGAGTTTTAAGCGAATTTTTTATTTACATATTTTTTTAAAAAAAAATTTAGACGTTAGATTTAATTTTGGATTGTCAAATCTTTTTTTTTTTCACAATTAAATTTGATCTCATTTGATCACAACAGTTGCATTATAAATGAAAAAAAAATTAAAATATAACAGTTTGGTGGTTCTAGAATAATTCATGATATGCTTAAATTTTAGAGGGAATATAGCTAAAAGATATATTTTCTCTCGAAGCTTATTTTAACGCTTATTTTAACCCAATGATTAGAGATAATTTGGAGGGTTTTAAAGCTTATATTTTAAGTTATTCTATGGGTTGAAGATGGTGTTACAGTTAGCAAGGGTTTTACCTCTGTTCCCAAACCCATGTAGCACAGATGTACATCGTCCGTCTGGATCAGTTGGATTGGGGTGGGTAGGTTTGCAGACCCAGATAGGGGTTGGAGGGTAGGGAGAGTGATTTCAGGGATTGGAAATCCCATCCCTTGATTTGCCCCTGTCATCTCTGTTTTCCCCTCATCTTTCTAACCCCTTCTCTTTCATTCTCTTTCAGACTCTCCCTTTCTCCCAGCTCTCCATCTCTCTCAACCCTCACCCTTTTCAATTTTTATTCTAAAGGACCGCCCCCTGAGAACAAATGTCAACTTACAGAACATGGCCAATTCGACAATCCGATAAAACCATAGGCACCATGTGCATTCCTGCTGGCATTGGCCCTCCACCATGTATCATTGGCTGTTCATGTACAAAACCCGTTAGAAGAAATTAGATTACCAAGACATAAGAGGACCAATGTAAATTCAGTGATGTACCTGCTGAAAGCCTGCAGCAACACCATATCCAGCCCCCACAGAGCCATATGGATTTCCGCCAAAACCACCACCATAACGTGGGTGTGCAAGGTGGTTTGCATGAGGCCCGGCATTGTACGAATAAGCCCCATCAGGTTTCTTCTCAGTCTGAGGCTTCGCAAGGACAACTTCGAGTGGATGACCTATAAAACCCAGAGGCCGAGAGGCCTGAGTCCACATCGCAACTCGCCACTCCGCCGCCGTCGACTGAGAGAACATCATCGATCCCGACTTTTGGATTGATTTCCTTGCCACCTCCGTTCACAGTGTAGGGAGCGACGGCTATCCCACCGCCGAGGCCTATCTCTTCAAAGTCGGTATGTGATAATCTCCAATACCTTCTGTGCGATTCTCCGATTTGAATCTCGGATGCCTCCTCAGGCAGAGCAGATTTGTGGGTTTTTGGTTTTCAGGGTTTATGGGTTACGGAGATGAAAACCCATTTAATTATTTTATTATTATTTTGTTTTAATGCTGAAATCTGGGAAGGCTCTGCTGGAGGTGGAGGTGAGAAGTTTAATTTTACTTAATTTAATTCATAATTTATTTTTTACTTTATTTTTTATTTTTTACAGTTCATTTGGATAGAGTAGATAGAGAGATTGTCGGATTTGTCATCTGGGTTTGGAGAGTAACAGCCACGAATTCGGGGCTCCGATTGAATTGGGTTGTTCTTACAAGGATGATTTGGCTGCCGCCCACAAGAACTGTGCTGGTTCAAGATTAAGGGCAACAAGTGAGTAAATTTCTGTGTCTTTTTTATATATCATATTTCGAGTCCTTTGGTAAATTGTTAGCTAACACGCTTAGACAGAAGAAAAAATTGAAGACAGGAATTGTTAGCTAACACGCTTAGGCAGAAGGAAAAATCGAAGGCAGGACCTCGGTTTTTAGTTTCTTGCATTAGGCAATGTTTATATCTGTGATTTGATAAAGCATACAAATATAATTGTTCAGTCTGCGATATCGCCAGCAGAGCCTACGTATAGTCTTCCACAACCCAAGTTAGAACATCTGTGTATGATCAAATATTGAACTATAAACTACTAATTGTCAGAACCATATACGATTTATACGGAAAGGTGAGCCTTGCTGCATTTTGTTGTAGTTTCTGTGAGTTTAAGTCCTATGCTTTTCTATGACCCTATGCTGATTAAGTTTCACAGCATCAGATGTCATTCACTTATTAAACGGTACGACAGAAATCTCCTCATGGTCTGCAGGAAAGGAAATCTTTTATGGCTCTAAAGCTGTTTCATGAAATGAAAATTCAGAAATGTAGACCCAACATATGCATGTATTCGGCTTTGGTAAATGCATTTGCAAGGGAAGGACTTTGTGAGAAAGCGGAGGAAAATTTTTAGCAGATGCAAGAAGCAGGGCACGAGCCTGATGTGTATGCGTACTATGCCCTTATGGAAGCTTATAGTTTAGTCTCTGATGGATTCTGTAGTTTAATTTGAGCGGTTTGATCAAGTATAAATGTACAAAACTTCCATTGTATGATATGCAGCGCTATATATCCGAACTTCTATAAGATTTTGCTCCCCAACAGTTGTGCAGGGTTTCCTTATGGGGCTGCGGAATTTTTTTTCTCTAATGCAGCACATAGGATGTGAACGCGATAGAGCTTCATATAGTATCATGGTAGATGCATATGGGAGACCTGGTCTTCATGAAGGTAAACGTTAAACACCTCGTACTTTTCACTCATTTCCCTTGAATAATTTGATCTTTACTCAGTTCACTTGAAGATGAGATGAAATTGTTTCAGGGAACCATTGTGATTGCAATTGAATTGTATGAGTTGATAATATTCTTAAATCATTCATTGAGTAAGGTTTTAATCTTCTGGTTTCATAAAGGTTGAAGCTCTTGCAGTTTTTATGTAGACCCATCTGCTCAAAACTAATGTATTTATGATGTTCCTTTTATTTGTATGTTCACTTGCCGATTGGAACTGATTTACATAAACACCCATCTTTGATTTGTTCATTTTCTCATGAACTCTTTTCTATATTTGATCATTGAGGTGGTATGTGCTTTAGTTGGCTTTTTGTTTTATGAATTTTATAAAATTAAAAAAAGCTGCTGTGTACTGAGTTTTATTGGGGTAAATTTATGGATACCTGATTTTTTTTCTCTCTCTCATATAATGAAGAAAACTTCATTTTCAACATTGCTTTTGTTTTTAATGATGTTTTCTTGCTTAGTGGTTACTTATCTCCTTGGATCAATTGTATTTGTCTAATAGAGGAGGTATCATGCAATTTCGTATTGTTTGTTTTGTCTTGATATCTTCTTGCTGGTGTGAACTTTATGCCAATCCAACGATCTCTATATTTTCTTTGATGATTTTGGTGCACAGGTGGAAGGTGAGAGAGAGAACTGCAAATCTTTTTCTGGAATATTGAGGGTGGAAGTTCCTTGAACTGATAATCTGGCCTTTCCCAACTCAAAACAAGTTCTATTATTGTGCTGCACCGGAGTGATGGCAACCATGTTACATTCCGAGTCCAGACGGTTATATGCTTGGTGGTGGGATAGTCACATTTCAAAGAATTCAAAACGGCTTCAGGAGAATCTTACAGGTCTTGATTTTTTTCCGTTAAATTTATTTGTTTAGTAGGACAAAACAAAGGACAGTATAAGACTCTCATGTCCTGTTACTTTTCTTTAAAACTATGATCAATAACATCCACGTTCCCATTTGAACATGAAACTATCTCAAGTTTTGTGATCTATGATATTAGCATGATATAATGTCAAGCATGTGAAAATGTTTTAAAAGAAATTTTCAGGTCACCGATAAAGAAAAGAACGTTCTTGGAATTTTCTCAGTTTGATTTCTCTCTTTCTCCACAATATGTGCAATTCAGTCTGTTTACCGATTATGTTTGGGCGAGAGTAGTACTAGAACGAGTGACCTCCTGGGAAGTCCTCGTGTTGCATCCTCCCACAGCCGACCACACTTAGTAGGAAAAGGCTTTGTTGTTGTTTCTTCATTCTCGTTGATTCCCCTCTCTCTTCAGTCTAATGTTTTTGCATGTACATCATCTTTTGTATGTGGATTGTATCGATCTAATCTTTTCATGAAAATAGCATAATATTTTGTAATACAATCTTTCATACATTTCAAACATAATTTTTCATATGATTTTTAACCCCGCAACAAAGTGCGGGCAAAATTTTGTAGTTGGTTCTATAATGAAGTGAGATTTACAAGGTAGCAGCTGGGATTGCATGGGAATGGGCAATCAATTTGCATTTTACAAGCAATTGTCTTGCTTGTAGGTATATTATGTTTTTTTTTCTACCTTTTAGTTAGGTTTCATATCTCACTTATAGGTATAATATACATTGATATATTTGCTACTTAAGTTAGGGTAGAATGTTTTGTAGATATATTTATGTTAGTATATATTTTGGAGTTGGAAAATGCATAATATTAAAAGATTTTAATTGATTTTTAATATTTTTAGAAAATATAAAATGAGTATAAAAGAAATAAAAACATCTGATTAGATAATTGGACTCACTCTTAAAAACACTCTATGTTTTTGGACCTGGATTTAAAGGCCCTTTCAAATAATTAGCTAAGAATTAGTTTAAATACATATTATTCATTCAATCTCTGTGGAAAACAACCTTGCTTAAGCCGTTAATACTACAACAACCTTGTTCTCTTGCAAGTATTTTGTGTGTTTTTATCTCTACTGTTGCAGGTGGTAAATTCCATATCAGTTCTCTTTGATGAGGTGATGTCTCCAATTTCCTTTCCCAAATTTGTTTATTTAGATATTCAATTTTTACAAGAAGTGAAATAATTTTAATCACGTATAATTGTGGACCTTTTTTTTATAAGTAGACATATTTTGTTCTATGTTAAGACTTTTTATTTGAAAACTACATGGATTTATATGAGATCAAAGTGGTAATTTCATGGATGGTGTTGTAGGAATGGCAATCCTCGGCTTTCGTGTTTTGGATTGATGAAAAACGGAAGGAATGGAAAAAGTTACAACACTAATCTTGCTCACACGTCCTGAATATCTAAGAAATGGTAATTGCCTATTTTCCTTATTCATAATTATTATTTATTATACCAATTTGTATACACCTTGTTGAGGGATTATTTATTATACCATTTTTTATACGCCTTGCTGAGGGATAAACTGAATTCTGACCAAGTCAATTATTAAAGTTATATTAATAAAGAGTTATATTGTATAATCTGCTGAATATTGCTACAATACCCTCATCCTGCGAGATTTAAGAATACTTGAGAATGATGAGTTGAGATCCATGTACCAATTATTGCTATCATGTGCTTTACACCAAGACTTAAGTCTCAATGCAATTTTGAAGTTTGCAAAATGAACTCTATGCACTGCAAATCCATCACTAAGACTAAATTCTCATTGCAATTAATAATGTGACTAGAAACTATTATGTTCAGCTTTAGAACTGTCCTTTTGGATCTTCTCAGTGAAAAACACCTTTCTTGATCATGTTATCTACTACATTTTTCAATCTCGATATCCCCTTAGTTTTGGTCTTTCTTTTGTTTTTCTGCTGCTTTCGTGCTGAATTATTGCTCTTTGAATTGTTTTGAGGATACCCAATTGCCCAAATTGTTCAAATTTGGTACTTCAGTGAGCTTTTATGTGCATTTTTTGTTTAGTTCTTCTTTGAAATGAATATAATTTGTAAGAAGTATGTTGGCATAACCAAATTTTTATATTCATTTCTTTCATAATTGTAAAGGAGAGAGAGGTCTGTTGTATTTGGTGTGAAGTTGATTTTTTGTATTTAAATTATCTAGATGAGCAATCGGGTTTTTTTTGTGCTGTCAGCGAGTATTTTTGCATTGTGTGGTTAGTATTTATGTGGAATACTATTTACAATGTGTGCATTTAGTATTGTTAGTATATGTTATAAATAAATAGATGGCACGAATGTTATATGTATATGTTATAAATTTATATTTACATTATCTAGATGAGGCTGAACCAAAGTGTAAGGTAAAACGTTGGCTTCACTAGAAGAAAGAAAAAAAAAATCTGCAAAAGGAGCAATTGAAGTGATGGAAATTGGGGACAAAATGAGAAATTGGGTGCTTTTTATCACAATGGACAAGTTGTTACAAGGTAATCACACTGGTAATATAAATTGAATTTTTATTTTAGAATTAGCATTTTTCTTGAGGTTCAACTGCTTGGAAAGGTATTTTGAAATTTTATTTTAGAATTAGTGTTCTTTTTTATTTAGAACAAAAGGTCAATAATTTCCTTCTTACATTCCACGTGTATGTAAATATAGTATTGCCTATTGTTAATAAACAATGAGACATCAATCACATGTGTGTACATAGTACATTTCCAATTAAAACTTATGACATGCATTATATGATTTAAAAACTCGCAGCAACGCGCGGACACCAATTACTAGTGAAAACTATTTGTGGAAATATGGCTTTCTACCTCTGCCATATCCTATATGTTCTGCTAGTTGCCTGCATATATGTCTACTCCACAACATGGAGGTTTGGACTTGAGTTTATTAGATCGTCAAATTTACATGCATATATGTAGAAACTACTCAAAAGAGAACAGAGATACAAAATATAACTCATCACCGACCTGCAAATGTCCAAGCAGATATATGAATAGTATCACGCCACTGATCGAAATAAAAATTACATAGACCATTTCCCATGCGTAGGTACTATACTTGAGATTTGAAGCAAAAGAACAGCAGAAATCATTGGAGCAATATATTAAAACAATATTTGAAATAGGACAACTCATTCAACGGCTGGATTTGCAAAATTATGTCACGCTCCGATCCCAATATACGTCCGAAATCGACACATGATGGAAGATTGTAGGGGAATGTCAGGAATACAAACTGAAATATTGAATTGAAATTAAGAATATTTACCATAGGACCAACACATGCCCATAGGCTCCCAAAAGAAAGTTCAAAGAAAGTACAAAGAAAGATATGGGGGTAACCTAATCACTCCAAGCTCTCTTAACTCTGTTTGCCACCCCAAAGCTCCTCGTATCCATTAAACTTGCACAATCGCCCCCTACACTGTGGGAATGGTGCAGCAGGCAAACAACCACCCGGATAAGCCGCAAGCTCGTGTGAGTGACAATAATGCAACGCATGTGATAAAAATAAAAACCATCCATCGATCACGGTTTATAAACATCAAATATAAAATCGTATTTTATGAAATCATAATCAAGCCACTGAATTTCCTGAAGAAGTCACACAAACACCCGTCTGCCCGTCTAAAACAAATCACAAAGGTTCACAATCAATATCTCATATGATACACCAAAATGCAAGGCTAGAGCAACACGGTTTGACTGAAGCCTACGTCTCTGAAGTTTTCTCAATCCAAACTAAATCCAAGGAATCACCAAATCAATGAAGTCAATGAATACGATTTCGGATCACTCAATGAAATCTAACAACATTAGGTTTTGGACCACTCAACTAAACCAAAATACAAAGAGGGATTCCGGACTACTCAATGGAATCCAAACTAGTATACGATTCCTGACCACTCAACAGAATCACAAAGTAGAAGGGTCTCCAGACCTCTCAAATGAATCCGAGTGGATACAATTCTGGACCACTCAATGGAATCGCGGAGTACAACGGATATCAGACCTCTCAATGAAATCCAAAGCAAGATACGATTCTAGACCACTAAACATAATCGCGAAGTATGAGGGATTTCAGACCACTCAACGGAATCTAGACGGAGCAAAGAACTTGACCACTCAACGAAACCGAGCAGAAGTCCAAAAACATAACAATGGCTTGAAGAAACAAGACATGAATCAAGTTCCCAATTTAGAAAGGCTTAACAAAATGAAACAAAACACAAGTACTAAATTTAGAACGAATCAATGAAGCGAGAAATGAAACAATATCGAAGCAAACAAATCCCCATGATCATGGTTAACGGTCCACTACTAGCCCTCACATTTCACAAACAATTTAACATGCATTTCAAATCTCATTTCACAAATATTTCCAATACACAAGTCAAATGACATTTAATAAAAATAGATCAATGGCTAAATATAAAAATAACAATTTTATAGAAAATGTATTTATAAAACCAAGTCATATCCACAAAGGATACTAATACAAGAAATCAGGGTAATGACCATATCGCATATATTAAAGTCACTCACCTGGAGGTCGAGCTACGACTCCCTAGCATGAATATCGAGGCGTCACAAACGATCATCGACTAGAACAAATATCAAATCACATCTTAGAATTTTATCGATAAAACACGTAATCGTAACTTGTACACGTCATCTAGGACATTCCAGAATGATTTGGGACCGATTGACCAAAAGTCAACTGATGGTCAAAGGTCAACGATAAGGTCCACAATCCTACGTAACTCGATACAGAAGATCCGCACATTAAAATTCCGATCCGTAAGTTCCCAAATCCTCATTATAGTTCTAGAACAACATACTAAAATATCATCACGATCCAACGGTCAAATCTCCACCAATTGCATATTCAAGCGGTGATCAACTCCGAAACTATGTTAAAACACTTGAATTTCACTAAACATATGTAAAAAATGGAATTGGGACATCGAAAAACCTTAAGAGAGGTCCCGAGCCAAAACCCGAAAAAAGTCAACAAAAGTCAACACTGACGGGTCAACTATCAACAGTCAATGGGTCATTAGAATCCCTTGTTTTAATTTTAAAACCCCCAAAAAAAAAAAACTTTGTTTTAATTTTAAAAGAAAAAAAAAACCTGTTAGAGATATTAAAAGAAATATGAAACCTTGTAAAGTTGATTGACTCGTCATCGGAGCTCTCTATTTTTTGAATTGGTTCATCAAAATCCATCATAACTTAAGCTTACTAAGTTATGATGGTACAAGATCCTCTGAGCTCTGAATGATCCCAAATAAGGAGTTTCTTGAAATTACGACAAAGTACATCTATTTTTTGAATTGGTTCATCAAAATCCATCATAACTTGCCAACTGTCCCGGACAGCGGATGAACTGCAAATGGGGTCTTATCCTTTAATTTCTTATTTATTTTGCATGGAATGGTTGCTTCAGCAGAACTATAAATTTCTGGATTTCAAGTGACGAGTTAAATCATACTGGAGTACCTACTAAGTAATGTTAGAGATATCACATTTTAAAAGGCCACATTATACCAGGTAGGGGCTGGAAAATTTTTCGAAAATTCCAAACCAAACCAAACAAATTCCGATCTTAAACCAAAAAAGTTCCACACCAAAATTCCTGAAATTTTTGGGATGACATACCGAACCAATCTCGAAATTTCGGTACGGAAATTGGTATTGCCTTCTCAATGTTTCGGTAATCCCATACCGAACCGAAAATAAATATTATATATATAGGGGTGTGATATCCACACACTCTTTTTTACTTCTCACAGGCCCTTCTAATTTTCGACCGTCGAATTGGATGAATTGAAGAAGATCAATGGACAGAAAATTAACAAATGGTGTGTGAGAAGTAAAAATGGGTGATATATATATATATATATCTACTAATTAATGAAACCCTCTTTGTCAACCAAAAGAGGGTGAAAAGACAAATTAGTCTTCTATCACACAAAAAAAAAAAATGATGGGCAATAATGTAATTTCACATGTTCAAATTTTACTGTTTTTTATTGAAGTCTCACATACAAGTGATGTTAAAATGCCTTCAATATTAAAATAAAATAAAAAAAACCTCTCACTCCCCCCACGTTCTTCCTCTCTCCCTCTCCCTCTCTTTCTCATTTTCTAAAAAAATGTGTTCATACACACAAAGTGTGTAGGCTAGTATATATTTAAGCTTTTCTTTTTGCTTTTGGCTTGGAATTTACTTTATTTTGGAATTATAGTTTGTAACTTATTTTTTTGCTTTTTCTTTTGCTTTTGTTTTTGTTACTTACCCTATTTTATTTTGGTTACATGCATGTTGATGTTGAATGTTGAATTCAAGTACTAAAAAAAGGACATTTGAATTGTTGCAAACTACTAGTAAAAACATAATTGGTGTGGTCTACAAGTAGTAACCATAGCCCTTTACTCCATTTGTTCAAGGATGCCATCCAACTCTAGGAGAATTTTAACTCCGCCATTTTTGGTCTAAGGTAGTACCCATAGCCCTTTTATCATCACAACTGCTGGTACGAACCTCCCACACACATTCACCCTACAGTGCTGCTTCTCAACCAGATGTGTCTATATCTTTTCAATACAAAATTAAAAAATTGTATTGTTAGTTTTCGAATGACACACCCCGACCCGAAATGTCCACTAGGACTCCGAATCGAGCTATATTGGCCGACACCTAGAAGGTGACGAAGCCATAAAGTATAGTGATGTGGAAAATGTGAATAAATTTAAACCTAAAAGTGCCTAAATATTAGAGTACGCTGTGAGCGGGAATGAACCCATTTCATACGCGACGTCAGAGCATAAGTAAAGTATAGTAGTGTGGGTAAAGATCATACCCTCAAAGGTAGCCACCTATACTGAGATTCGCCAAGAATCCTCGTCGATACGAACTTTCAGCAGCTAAAACCTGGAGGGGCGAAAAACAAGGGTGAGTGGGCCTGAAAATAAAGTTTCAATAAAAACCTTGTGGAAACGTTATAACCCCTCGCTGTAAAACCTGTATAGTTCCCAGAAAATAATACTACATATGTATATATAAATCATGCTTAAGAGCAGTGAAAATCAAAGTATGCCATGTCAAGGTGTCTCAACAATGAAATGTGTAAGCCAGGTGCTCTGAATCAATATAAAATAATATGTCAGCCGGAGTCACCTAATGTGATCTGTACGGCTAAATCCATAGCTCATCAAGTATGTCTGCACACGAGTTGGAACCACCTATTATGGTCTGTACGACAGGGCTGGGTGTAAATAGGTACGCTCAAGTGCTACGATCACGTGAAGGCTGTGCGAAGTATCGCAAGTCACCTACGAGTCGGAACCAGCTAATGTGGTCTGTACGATAGGTTGGCACCTGCCTTGGATCCAAGGTGAGCATGTGGTGTGGGAGGTGAACGATCACGTGAAGGTTAGGCCCTAGCCTCGGGTGGAGCACTGGTGTAAACTTGCAAGTGTACAAGATAATCGTAATATAGTGTTTAGCCAGTCCAAGTATCATTCCCACGAGGATTCTAATTCAACCTCCAATTCGATAAACTAAACCAAGTCTAATAATATTAATAACACACAAACCCAAACAACGAACTAGACTCGATCTTAAGTAATAAATCAATCAAGGATGTGAAGAATTTGTTGTGATGATTGTAAAAATGAACAAAAACAGAACCTTAAATGAAAACTAAAATTAAGGGGAAGAAAACGTTGTGTTTTAAGGTAAGTGATGAAAATCTAGGGACTCGTAATCAACCACAAGCAATCTAGTTTAGGTTTCAATGCATTCAACGGATCTTTCGATTCTTTAGATGATAATTCCCGTATCTAAGTCCTTGTTAGGCACATTAGACCATAGTTTTCTTTAAGTGAATGATTCTCTCCTAGTTCAGGCAGAGGATCCTAACATGCAGTCTATCCTGGTTAAGGCATAAATTTAACAAATAGGACTCTTTTTGCTCTAGAAAACAAGGGAACCAAGCAAACCATTATTCTTTGTCAAGCAATAATGTAATTTACCACACTTAACCACAAGAAGCTAATTGAATTATATTGCTAGTTCAGCCTCAAATTCATCTTCCAATCTTACTAGATGCAAAGTCCTAAGGTGATCAATCAAAGAACTCAAACAAAAAGTAACAATTCAAACAGTGATTAAGCATTCATCTAAAAGAAACTAGAAATCCAATGAATAAAATTAAAAACCATAAACATTCATGCTAGGGCATCATCCTAACCCTAGAAAAAAAGTTTAGTTACTCATAAAATACGAAAACCTAATTAAAATTCTGAAAAACATGAAAAACTTAGGAAAGATGGTCGTCGGCTGCTGCTCTTCTTTTTACTCCTAGCTGCGACCTCTCCTCTCTGCTCCTTAAACTCTCTCCAAAAACACGTTCCCAAAACCCTCTTTGTATAGTAGACAAGTCCTAACATAAGTAGGTCTTGTGGTATCCTTTCTGTTGCATGACTGGTGATGTGGCAAGTAAACTTCCCATATAATTACTTCAAACCCATTCGAAATAGGATTAGAGTCAGCTCAACACGTTCTATCTTGGGCTTTGGGCTTCGACTGAATGAAGACTTGAAAAACTCAAGAGACTTTGCAATTTCTGCATAGACTTGGCTGATCAACGTCTTGTACGAAAATCTTCATAACACCATTTAGGAAACTTGGAATCACAGTCCGTAATATTCCTCTGAAAGCTAACATCCATATCTTTCCAATGGTATAAGGCTCAACAGCTGGTTCACTCTGAGGAAGTACAGTTTATTCCGTCAAGTTAGCTGATTTGCACATACAGTTTCTGCTTCCAGGACACATAACTCGTTTCAATTGCAAAAGTGCTCCTTTTTCTTCTTTCTTCATCTTCACTCTTCAAATCTAAGAAAATCATAAAACTAAATGAAACAAACTAAATTCACTCAAAAACATAACAAAAATCTAAACTAAAAGGGCATTAAAATGTATGCAATATTGGTTGTATCAAGCACTAACACCGGGGTGCAAGATAATAAGCACTAAATGCATCTAAACATAACCATACACACTGAAATCCCTATCATCAACATGTACTCACCTGAAGCTTACCTGGGCGTCCGCAACGTCATTCAATATAAATATAATTCATACTAATGCAACATTTAAAGTATCACACATTTTAGATATGGCATGAAGTGCATGAATCAATTCAAAAGCATTTGTGGAAACTATCATTCATTCGTATATATACTATAAAAAGCAAAAGACCCACTCATCTGGAGTTCGCGCTACAACTCCCTAGCACGAATATCGAAGTGTCACGAACGATCCGTGCCTAAAACAATTATCAAATCACATCTCAGAATTCTTATCGATAGAACATGTAACTTACGTAAAATAAATTCCTAAGGTGTTCTAGAATGATTTGAGACCCATTGACCAAAAGTCAACCGTCGATCAAAAATTGACGGTAGGGTCCACAGCTCTACGTAACTCAATCCAGAAGATCCGCACCTCGGATTTCCAATCCGTAACTTCCAAGATCCACATTAAGCTTCTAGAACAACATACTAAAGTTTCATTACGATCCCACGGTTGGATCCCCGCCAATTACAATTTCAAGTGGCGGTTAACGTTTTATTTTATGAACTTCCAAATCCAATTCAGAAAGATCGGTATGTCGGATCCCCGATTCGTAAGTTCCTATGGTCCTCAAATATTACGTACTATAATGTAATAAAGTTTGGGACGATCCAACGGTCTGATCGTCGATTACTATTCCAATCAAGTGGCGGCCCTTAATGGAATTTCGCCAGATTCTGCAAATTTTGCAGATTTCCTGAGCAATCTTTAGAACTCCATATCTCACTTGTTTCGCAACCAAATTCGACCCATAATTAATCGAAGCTAGAGAAGTGTAGAACAAAGTTATACCTGCTTGGAGTCTAAATGGTCGCCGGAGATGGCCGTAAAATGGCCTGAAAGACGGCTGTCCGCGGGAAAACTGGAAAATTCGTCAGAATTTCTGGGCAACCTTTCAACATCCATAACTTTGTCAATACTCAACGAAATCAAGTGATTCAAAAACGTAAATCATAATTCTCGACGAGATGAAGAGATTGGTACCTTTCATGATGGCTATATCGCTGTGATTTTTCCGGAAAATGACTCGAAAATGGCGGAGGTCGCCGGAAACTGCGCAAACTTTAAATCGTTATAACTTTCTCATTTCTCCACCAAATCACACGATCCAAACATGAAAATTCATCTACACAACATGAGGAATCGATTTATACCTGTTTTGAGTTCAAAATATGGCTGTAAATTGTCTGAAACTGAAGGGAAACCCACGGCTCCAATGAAGGTTCTTGAAATGGCATCCGTGCACAGTATTCCGAGAAACCAAAATTTGATTCAGGTTTCTAGGTCCGAGGAGAGTAAGAATATGGTGATTTTCAAGTCGTTAATTCGTCGGAAAGGTGGATTGGTGCTTAAGTGTCACGGGGAGGGAGTTGAGGGCGAGAGAGAGATGTGAGCTGAGATGAGAGTCACGGGAGAAAGGAGAAGAGGAAAAGAAGAATCCAGAAAAATGGGGATCAATCTGTGGGTCCCACATGGCACACAACCAATTTCACATGTTCAATTGTCCATTTATCAAAATGCCCTCGATGTTTAAAGGTTCGTAGAATCTTCGTTATAACTCCAAATTATGTTCCATTTGCGCCAACGCGTTCGTAGCGACAAGTACTATGAGGATACGCCAAGAAAATGAGTCTTACGTGGCACAACAAGACGGTCAAACAAAATCAACGCATTTGCCACGAAGGGCATTTTCGTAAATTCACTTATTAAAATTATAAAAACCGTAAAATTGGGAACAGGTTGTTACATCGAACATATTAGGTTTGTAACTTACTTTTTTGCTTTTGGTTTTGTTACTTATTTTATTTTGGTTGCATGTTAATTTGACTTGTCATGAATGATTGGTATTTCAATTTGTATAAAATTTAGAAATACCAAACCATCCCGAAATACCGAAAATTGGAAGTACTGAAATTTCGGTTCGGGATTGGTCTTCGAATTCTAGTTTCAAAAAATTTCGGTTTGGGATTCAGAATTGCATTTTCGGTTTAGGATCCCATTACCGAACCACCCCTAGGTAGGACACATTGATAAATATAGGTCACTTCTAGGGATGGGCAACGGTTATGACGGGTGGGTAACTGCGGTTATTTACACGTAACCGTTTATCCGTTGGGTAATTGCATAAATGGGTATACCCATACCTATTTATAAAATTGTTAACCGTACCCATAACCGCTTACCCATTTAACCGTAATCGCATATCTATTTAACCATAACCGCATATCTATTTACGCGTTTACTCATTTTTCACCCCGTTTACCTTTTTCTTTTATCCGTTTATCCTTTTTTTGAAAGAAAAAAAAATTGTTATAGAAACATTTAAAATGCATTTCGGTACTTAAATTTAAAATCCTCATACTATTTTGGAAATTGAAATAATAGTTTACAGACGATATTAAAACCAAATAGTATCCTTAAGATGGAAAATGCAGGCCTTTCAATATCTTCTAACCAATAAACCTAACCACAAATTGTTCCTCTTCTTCATTTGATTTCCAATTGGCGCCCACAATCCTAAATCCAAAACACAATAGGGCAGCAGGGCTAGTGTATATCTTTTTTTTTTTAATAGACTTTCATAAACTTTTCATAGGTAAAAATTTTAAGGAAGCTTTAATAAAAACGGATTAGACCAAGACTATTTTAATAAAAAATCATCCTATAGTTTTATTTAATAAAAGCATTTCAAAATTAATCATAACGATAAGAGCTCCAAATTCTACACGGACTAGATTATAGAGCCCAACATAAATAAAATTAAGTTTCTAAAATGACTGCAGCAGAAAGAAATCCCAGCCCTTAGCAGAAAGAAAACCCAGCCCTTAGTTAATTTTGTTTAATAAAAATCAGTTAAATAAAATTAAAACAGAAAAATAATGTAAATCTTAATGAAATATTTTTGCTACTGTTCATTTTTAACGTTAAAGATATTTTCATATTAAAAAGTCATTCCTAATACTATTTATTTATAACATTTTTTATCATCTTAATTAAAACTAAAACTCTTGAGAATTTTAGTTAGTTTCGTAAAAATAATAGCAAAAAACTTAATGAAGGCTTAAATATCCCCAGCGACCGATTCCCACCCCCAACGGTGACTCACTTTCGATCTACAACGACGACGAGGATCTCAGCTTCCTCGAAGACGCCACCGACCAACCAGATCCGGACCAATACGACGACGATTTGGGAACTTCTCCGATGTCGACGACAACGGGTACAGGAGAAGATGGCAGCCCAAGACTCCTGGCTGGGTTGATGCTAGTTCAAATGATGGGTTGTAGGCCAAGTGCACCAACGATGAATCCAATAGGCAACGGAGCCAAAATCGATCAAAACCCATAAAAATTCACTACCAATCAACAAAAAAACCAATCAAACCCCAACAAAAACAATTAAATTCACAAATTTTATCTCAGTTAAAAGGATCCTCACCAAAAGGATCCGGAGAGGATCCTGTTGGCTTGCACAGACCCCATATCGACAGAAAGGGAGAAAATGCAGGATTGGCACTGGCCTGCTCACGTCCCCAAATCGAATCCACTGGCGTCGACAAAGACCCATCGACTCAGCCACCACCGGCCATGGCTGCGATCTTAGCTCGGAAATTTCTCCAGGCTCTCCGCGTCAGACAGCTCGTGAGTTTATCCTCTGCCCTAACCCGCCTTTTCTTATCCTCCGTTTGGATTCCGATAAAATCCGGAAAAATTGAATTCCAAGTTTGAATTTGGTTGTTACCGGTGAATATTTCGAATCAGCTAGCCCACGCTGCATAGCAACAAATTACAGGACCACAGCGCTTTCTTTTTCTTTAGGTGTAGAAATTTAGATTAGAAAGCTGGTTTTAATGGACTATAATTAGGGAATTTGATCGATATTGTGGATAAATTTTCGTGTTGATGTGTTGTTAGTTGGCACTTATGAGCTTGTTTAGTAATTGCTTTATGTTTCTCATCTGATCAGATGTTTCTGACTTTGGCATTTGCATTGTATGTAGCTATATTTTTGGATTCCTGTTTGAATCTGTTCAATGCAAGTAGGAAAGGAAACGGACTCTTTCTCGTTCGATTCCATGATTGGTATTACTTGGAGTGATTGAATTTGGATCCTATTTAGCAAAAAAAAACATAGTGATGAATTATTGTAGGACCAATCTTTGGTTAGGAAGTTCCTCTAGACCTGCCCTCAGAAGAATTGCAACTTAGTTTTGTATCGGTCGAGAGTCGACAGTATTAGTCAATTTCTCAATGGAACTGTTGAGGGGAGTCTTTGGATTGCTGCTTAAACCTTCATTACGACCGTAACAGCCATTGAAACTCACCTAAAGAGCTTTCTCTATTACAATTGTGGTACAATTGAACCTGACAGGTATTCTTGTGTTTTGCTAACGTTGAGGAAAGTAGATGACGTTTAAATTCTTTAAATTTGAAAAATAGCTGAATATATAATTATTTTGAATTAAAAATTTAGTTACTAGTTATTTCCACCGTAGTAACAACCTCTGTGTTGAAAATTTGTATTAATCTGGCAGCCCTGATTGCAAAGACTTCAACTTTTTCGTGGGACTTGACGGTTTGGTCTGAGATGGGTAAGCCGGAAAATTGGGACTTGACGGTTTGGCCTGAGATAGGTAAGCCGGAAAATGGGGTAGATGTCGCCGCCCAACCTATAAGTTCTTCTCCATAAACATCACCTTTCTCAAGATATGCAGTGCTTGACGAGCCACTTTCGCCACCAGTAGTTCCAGTCTTGTAAGCAAGTGCAATGCCCTGCGTGATGAAGAGCATCCTATCTAGTGGCTCCCCCTCTCGAATAATATAGGTACCATCAGCATAGCTTACTGGCTCAAGATCCTCCATGATTGCATCCAACACTTGTCTGTCCTTGTTTTCAAGCCCTGGCAACTGGGGTTAATTCATACATGTAATTAGAAACTTAAGACTACATCGATAAGATCCAATAAGCAACATCATTTTACTAAGACGGATGATAATCAACTGTTTAAAAGTAGACTCACGAAAGCACGCCTAAAGAACTCAAAGAGGAGTTCATGCTCCTATCTATACAATAGCTTGAATTCGATAACTAGATTATTCGAAAAACCATCTACTGCCACAGGTTTATAGAGCACTAAATAGAGCTATGCATATGGAGAAATTGACAGAGATGGGACATTAGGAATTTACTTTCGTTAGTGTAGGTGTAGCCAAGAAGAGATGGCACTTCAAAAGTCTCTGAAGTTCCCGAGGAAGTAACGAGAAGATATTCTCTGCAGCACGACCTTCGTCCTCTTCAAGTGCTTCTCTTACCAATTTCCAAATTGCATATTCTACCCACTCCCCTGTAAGACCATATTCGGATACCATGAACTCTATTCGTGGATATATGACTAGCCTCCGCTGCCAAATCTGAGATGTTCTGCTAATTGCCTGCATAAATGTCTACACCAAAACATGGAGGTTTGAAATTGAGTTTATTAAATCCTGAAATTTACACGCATTTATGTAGAAACTACTCAAAAGAAAACCAGATATAAAAAATATAATTCATCACCGACTTGCACATGTCCAAGCAGATACAGGAATAGTAGCAGGCCAATGATCGAAATAGAAATTACAAAGACGCTTTCCCATGCATTGGTACTAGAGTTGAGGTTTGAAGCAAAAGAACTGCAGAATTCATTGGAGCAATATATTAAAACAATATTTGAAAAGGGACAACTCATTGGACTGCTTGCGTGACTGAATCTTGATAGTTAAACGTCGGCACATCCCATGCACTGGTGTATTCGTGTGAATGATGCAATATCTAAGAATAAAAATACTTATGTAGGACAAACCTCAAATTTCGTAAGCCCCACGACAAACACATCAAGAGTTTTTGAGGAAAATCTGTTGTTCCCACTATGCCAGACTGAAGACTGTCAACGAATATGCCAAAATCGTATGCCATTGGATTTGGTGGATTTGTTGGACATAAATCATTTAGAAGTGTGACGTTTCTGAACAGAGTATTATCACATTGTAAAGTACTTAAGTTGCATCCATTTTCACTTCGACAAGTAGAGATCCAACAATCTATCTCTCGCTGAACAGAAAAAAAGTACCAAAATGCCCCGAGTACCTAACAAACCAAGAACAACATTTGTAGCTCAACGATACTTACAAGCAACTTAGGGAGCAGTTAAAATAAACTAAGATAAGACAATAACTTACATGACTAGCAAGGATGTACATGATGAAATTTGATAAACCTGGAATCCATAATTTCTTTTCCTTAGCAAGTTCTGTGCTACGTTGACGGGTATCCTTGTTAAAGTCTTTACATACTCTGTACAGTGGATAAGCTCGTGGAACATATTGCAATAGAATGAGTGAGTTCAAAAACTTCATTCTAGTCAAAGATCTTGAGTTCCTCGTTTTTGGAAGGAAAATTAGAATTACAACCTGTACACAAATGCAAACCAATAGCTAAACTTAAAAGAGTTGTGTGACAGAATCAGCAAAATCAAATTATCCTAATTCCTAATATATGACTTAATAGATTACGAAAAATAATTTACCCCATAAAAGTAATTGGCTTACTTGTGGAATAGGAAGAACAGCTAAAATGTTATACATTCGGGATTCGGGTATGACGACATCTAGGAAAACTTCCACTTCCAGAATGCACGATGTGTACGTGCACCAGGTAGGCAGCACACGACGGAGGAGGTTACATAGAAAAGGGAGATCTGTAAATGATCGCAAAACAATCGCTATAATCTTTAATTTATCGTCTAACGCGAGACACTTGATATTTTCATTGATGATGGGAACGTACAAGAACAAAGTGTCCACAAGGATAAGGCCGATCAAAATTGCAATCGCAATAAATTCAGCAAATTCATCCAATAGTTTGGACCAGTTTGATCTGTCTCCTCCATCTCTCTTGCCATACTTCCCTTTTGCAAGCTTTATAATTTCATCACCTGACATCCTGAACAATTAATACACAAGAATTAAACATGCAAAATAAAATCCTATTTGGAACAACCATATTGATCTGATGCAAAAATCCTTTGTTTTAATTTTAAAAGGAAAAAAAAAAATGGAAAAACCTGTTAGAGATATTAAAAAAAATATGATACCCTGTAAGGTTGATTGACTTGTCATCTGAGGGCTCTATATTTTGAATGGGTAACTGATAAATCTCCATAACTTAAGCTTACTAAGTTATGATGCGTATAAGATTCTCTAAACTCTGAATGATCTTGAATGAGGAGCTTATTGAAATTACGACAGAGTACATATGTTAACTACAACCGCTACAAGATGGAGTATAAGTAGGCTAGGGGTTGAATGGACAAATTAAGAAGCTAGTTTGCTATGGTTTTGGAAATATGCAAATGAAGATATCATGCAGCAAATCCAACTGAAATTTAAGATCAAGCATATATGGTGGAAATTTAAGATCAAGCATATATGGTCAATGGGGTCTTGGTCGTTTCCCAATTACGTACCTTTTCCCATGTGTAATTGTGCTCAACAACCAGAGAAATACATGGGGCCCCTTGCCAACTGTCCCGGACAGTGGATGAAATGCGAATGGGGTCTTGTCATTTTCGCATGGAATGGTTACTTCAGCCGAACTATAAATTTTTGGATTCCAAGTGACGAGTTAAGGTCAAATTGGATTTATGGTCTCCGTGATGATTAGGTATTCGGAAAATTGTCCCTGTGGTAAAAAAAATTAAGATTTAAACTTTTGTGGTTAAGGTTATTAGCAAATTTAACCCAAATATGAGATTTCTGTTAAACCTCAGTTAAATTGTAGGGATAAAAGTGTCCAACCACTCTTTCTTTTTAGCCTTCTCTCTTCCCTCTTTCTGTCTCTGTTAGCCATGTTCTTTCTGTCTCTGTAATCTTAAAAACGTAGGAATAACATTATTCGAATGCTGGGGTGAAGAATAGATAATCATAGAGGTCAGAGACCCAGATTTTGAACCCAGATTTAATCCAAGATGCTGCCTACACCTTTTGACCCGGTGCCTACACTCTTGGACCTCTACGAAGGTAGTAATTTCCCTCTCGACCTGCGTTTCAGAGGTGCCGCCTTGAGCAATAATTTCCCTCCGCTTCCGTTGCCTTGTAGACTCCTTGACTCGAAGAAAAGTAGCAAATTTGGTGCCCAATTGCTCTCGCCCATTCCTAACTTTTGAGGTGCCTTGAGCATTATCACCATCACCATCACCATCACCGACAGCATTCAACCCCCTGAGTCTAGAACAAAAAACACAAAAAAAATTATTTTCTTCAATCCCAAATTTGAGCAAGTTTAAATTCATATCCAATTGCCCATGCTGGGGTGAAGACATTACTAGCAACAGATTACCAATAAACTGAGCTAATCTTACCTCAATTTTCAAAGGTTGTAGCTCGATTCCATTAGAGCAACTCTCACCGAGAACCGCTGCTTGGATTCTCCTACTTCCCATTACATAATTTAACATGCAATGGTACCATAGGGATCCCCAGGTTGTGCAGGTCTTGTATTTGGTGGTTTGGGGTCTCAATTTAATTGGAATTTGCGGTGATAGTGCTTGGAGGTCTCTTTGGCTATGGTGGTTTAGAGAGAAGGCAGAGAGTTCGAAAAGAGAGAGAGAGTCCGATAAACTGTTCAAATCAAGCACGTTGTCGTCGGAGCCATTGGTAGAATGCAGCCTCACCGACGAAAGGTTAAGGCGCTCGTCAATGTGAACGGTGCAGACGTTGTGGAATTGGCGGCGAGGAGGCCGACGATGAGGTCCGGGCTGCCGATGGTGCCGATGCAGAGGGCGGTGTTGCTGAGGCGCTCGAGGGCGAGCTAGCGCTTGCAGACGAGGGAGCAGGCATCACGGTTGGGCTTGGAGTCAAGCCGCCGGAAGACCTCGACGATCAGCTCGCGTGGAGGTTACACAGACACAGAGAGAGGAAGATAAGGCTAGCAGAAATAAAGAGTAGTTGGACATTTTTATCCCTACATTTAACTGAGGTTTAACAGAAATCTCACATTTGGATTAAATTTGCTAAAAACCTTCACCACAAGGGTTTAAATCCTAATTTTTTTTACCACATGGGCAATCCTCCGAATATCCTATCACCACGGGGACTATTAATCCGATTTGGCCGACGAGTTAAATCATACTAGAGTACCTACTAAGTAATGTTAGAGAGATCACATCTTAAGAGGCCACATTATACCAGGTAGGGGCTGGAAAAATTTCCAAAAATTCCAAACCAAACCAAAAAAATCCCGATCTTAAACTAAAAATGTCCCAAATCAAAATTTCCAAAATTTTTAGGATGACATACCGAACCGATCTCAAAATTTCGGTACGGAAATTGGTATTGCCTTCTCTATGTTTCGATAATACCATACTAAATCAAAAATAAATATTACATATATATATATATATTATATTTAAGCTTTTCTTTTTTCTTTTGGTTTGGAACTTATTTTATTTTGGAACTATAGTTTGTAACTTTTTTTTTTTTTTTGCTTTTGTTACTTAACTTATTTTATTTTGGTTGCATGCATTTTGAAATTGAATGTTGAATTCAAGTACTTAAAAAAGGACATTTGAATTGTCGCAAACTACTAGTAGCAATATAATTAGTGTGGTTTACAGGTAGTAACCATAGCTCTTTACTCTATTTGTTCAACGCTGCCATCCAACTCTAGGATTTCCAGAATTTGAACTCCGCCATTTGGTCTAAGGTAGTAACCATAGCCTTTTATCGCCACAACTGCCGGTACGAACCTCCTACACACATTCACCCTGCAGTGTTGCTTCTTGACCATATGTGTGACACACCCCAACCGAAATCAAGACGTGTTGGCCGTCACGTGAGGGTGACATAACCATGTGCACAGTGCGGAAGCAAAAGATAATAATAAAAGTACGAATAAATAAAAATCAAACTACTAAATAAACTAGTTAAAGTAACACACTAGTGCGAGACTAAGTGTGATAAACATAGTCAGAGCACAGAAAACCTAAGTGCAGTCCAGAAGAACGAATACTAAATACACAACACCCAAAGGTGATCCTATATTTGTGATGTTCTGTCAGAACCACCGACAAGTCCTCGTGAACCACCAAAGTTGCTTCTAACTAGAACCTGGAGGGGCGCAAAACAGAAAGTGTGAGTGGGCAAAAACAAAGCTTTTCAAAATCATTTCATTATCAAAAGTTCTAACCCCTCGCTGTAAAACCTGTATAGTTTCCTAGCAAATAGAATACACACATATATCGAAAACATGTTTAGAAATATGCCATGTCAAATGCTTCAACATACAGTGTGAGTAATCCAGGTAAAGTCAGTCAATATAAATAACATGTTAGCTAGAGTCACCTAACGTGACCTGTACGGCTGAATCTATAGCTCAAATCCCCAACTCACTAACTATACCTGCACACGAGTCGGAACCACCTAAAGTGGTCTGTACGACATGACTGGGTGTAAATAAATACGCTCAAGTGCTACGATCACATGAAGACTGGGCGAATAATCGATGGTCACCTACGAGTCGGAACCACTTATAGTGGTCTGTACGATAGGACTGTGCACCTACCTTGGATCTAAGATGAGCGTCTGGTGCAGGAGGTGAACATCACATGAAGGACTGTGCCCTACTCTGGGCGGGAGCACTAACACCGGGGGTGCAGATTATGAGCTCTCTATGCATCTCACATAACCACTAATTCACAATGATAAACCATAAACTTACCTGGCCCTTACCTGTGCGTTCGCAGCACCAATCATATATATATATATATATATATATATATATGCAACTACTAATGCATAAATAAATAGGCAAACGCTATGCATGGCATTTAAAACATATAAACATTTCATTTCATTTTCTGGGAAAAACCACAAGTATATAGGTATATACGAAAAACCAAAAGCCTACTCACTGATATGTGGAAGGGTCATAACCCCCTTGCCTCGAGTGACTGCGCTCGTCCTCAGGATGGGTCTCACCTATATGCGAAACAACTATAAAAACGTCAATTTAAAGCACATAACCAAAACTAGGTAATAAGTTCTCATACAATGCTCAAATGGGGTGTGTGAATACACCAACGTGATCTACTCAACCTCACGAACAACCCCATATTTTTAAAATAATTTTCCAACCACCCACGCGCCGGCCAAGGCACGGCCAGATGCGCGGGCACGTGTCTGGCACACTTGTGAAAACCCTAACGGCGTTAGGGAATATTCCGTCCAAAAATAGTATATACCGTTAAATATACCTGACGTCGTTAGTAACGCTGTTAGTATATTCCGTCAAAATTGACGGAATATTCCTTGTCTTTTCCGCCGGTTACCGTCGTCGTCTGCAACTCGAATTCTCGCTGGAAACTGGAAAATTTTCAAAACTTCATATCTTCTTCATTACTTAACTAAAATCCATGAAATTGGTACCAAAATGAAGCTTACAATGAGTAGAACAAAACAATACCACTTTGAAGCCCTTAAATTCACGGAATCTCACCGGAGAAACCACGAAATTCCGGCCAAACCTGTAACTCACCACTCCAGGCCTTCCTGATGTCCAATTTCTTCCAAAATGCTTCTCCGAGCTTCGTAAGAGTATTTTAAAGCTTCCTATGACCTTAGAAACTTCTAAAACCCCCACGATCACGTGTGCATGAACAGTGCACAAAATCAGGGTTCCCTGGTTCTCAGGTTTTTGAGGGTTTCACGTCCAACCAACACCACCAATAGACTCCTAAGCTCGAAGGGAGTCCAAAAACAGCAACAATGGTCACGATCCGTGCCAGAAATGGTTGAATGGAAGCTTGTCCGTACAAGTTGTAAGGAAAATGGAATGAAGTCCGAGAGAGAAGAGAGAGAGAGAGTCACATGAGTGTGTGATATGGGTGTGTGTGTGTCCTGTAGAGTCAACCACCAAAAACAACTAAACAACACACCAAAATGGCAAATACCCACCAAGGGAAAAATCGTCATTTCACACCTACAGTACAAATAATTCGGGACGGGCTGTCAATGTGTCTATATCTTTTCAATAGGAAATCAAAAAAATTTATTGTTAGTTTTCAAACATATTAGGTTTGTAACTTACTTTTTTGCTTTTGGGTTTGTTACTTAACTTATTTTACTTTGGTTGCATGTTAATTTGACTTGTCATGAATGATTGGTATTTGAATTTGTGTAAAATTTAGGAATACCAAACCATCCCAAAATACTGAAAATTGGGAATACTGAAATTTCGGTTTGGGATTCGGAATTGCATTTTTGGTTTGGGATCCCATACCGAATCACCACCCCTAGGTAGGACACATTGATAAATATAGGTCACTTATAGGGATGGGCAACGGTTATGATGGGCGGGTAACTGCAGTTATTTATCTATAATCGTTATATGTTG